GGTGTACACTGCCTTCCGTCGCGGATGACTCAAAGTTGGGTCAAATGACTATCGCTTTTAAAAGAAATCCCGTCTTAACTGCAAGTTATCAACGCACTGGTCCCGTTGATAAGGTGTTAAGCTAATGACAGGAAATGCTTGCGCGCAACGCGAAAAAACGGTGACTCATTACGTTTAATTTCGATAGAATATTCGTTAGAGCGAGTGACGAAAGCGCCAATGGATTTCAGCGAATTCCGCGTTCATTTCTTTCTCACGGTCGGTAAATTATATCCGTGGGATATACGAGGACCGTTAATTTCTTAATATAAAAAAGATTCGTTAATTTCCAAGTTAACGTGCGATTATTCGTCAACCAGACACCGCCATGGGATTCCCGGATTTCCCCATCGTTGCGAAAATCGAAGTGAAGGGCACGTTCCTTTTCTCTGGTCTGAATCCGCTATTTTTAATTACACACACACACACACACACACACACACACACACACACACACATATCTCGTCCACGTTCCTAGAATCTTTTTTTTTGTATTTCCTGTCCCGCCGAAATGCCAACGTTTAAGAAACCGAGAGACACGGCGGCTTATTTCAGTCGTTGCGTCACGCAATCTAACCTAAACAGTCCGCGCAAAATTGCTAGGGATATTTCAAGAGTGGCCGTTACGACGAAACCATGAATTACAGCGTGCGCACTATTTCCCATTTTCGGAAAGCGTCCTTAACCTTACATTTCGATCCAAGATTGAAATTCGTATGCAATGTTTCGTCCCGCGGATAATTTGCATAAATTTGAATTTCTAGACACTTTAAGAAAAGTGAAATTGACCAGAAGTTGATTTTCTTCGTTCATCATTTTATCATAAGATGCATAACTTATCGATGATGCAACGATGATAAAAATATCATGGTAGTTGCGAGTATAAGTTCGTAAAATTTCCAATACTGGCTGGCTAAGCTAATACGACATATAAAGTTTTATAGAATATTAACTGGAACAGTAGAGTGATTGAATTTGACGTTAATTTCGATAGTAGCTAAACCTCGAATAGATAAACGCAATGATAGTAGAGTATCAACACGGATTCATGTTTTTCCCGAATGACTTATCACCAGAATTATTCAGAAATAACTACCTTCAGGGCACCAATACTGTATTTTGCCCATTGTGTCGCCCCATCCGTTTACTGGCGCTTGTTGCGTGTCCCCTTGCGAAATTTCGATTATTTCACCCATTCTGTCGCTTATTCGAACACTTCCAACGGAATTACTTTGAGAAAAATTCATTCCTCACAGAACAGCAGGCTTTATCTGCTCCGAATCACTTAACGAACCATACGTTAAATGCACTTCCGTAACCGAAAAAATTCCACACATGTCACTCGTTCGATCCAAAAGAAACCGGTAACTCGTTTCAGACCCTCGATCATCCGGTACGCAACGATTTCGCGTTCAACGACAAAATGAAGCACTCCCGCGACTGTTCCAGCAGAAAATTAGTCACAGATTTCACTCGCGTCGCCGTGAACACGATTGATCGCGAGAACGTAATCGTGAGTGAGTCGGCCGAGCGATCGCGAGGACTCGCGCGCTATCTTCACGGTGCAACGCACTCCAAGACTGGCTTCGACAGACTAAGGGGATGCATCACCATTGGCGCACGAAAATCACATATTTAAAGTTAATAAAACCGAACTGTCACAATGGGAAATTACAAAATTTTCACGTGCACTTTTCATTAAATACAAATTGCGTTAGATAACATATAACGAATTGTTTTTGCAAGAAAATTGTCCGCGTCAGGTTCGAGTGTATACACTTTCCACGTCTTTCCTGTTAGTCACTGCAACAGGAATTCGAATTTTTGAACGGTCTAAGGTGATGTATCCCCCTGAAGGCAGGATTTCCAAGCGACGAACGGTACAACACATGTAATCCACTCGAAACTTTCACGCGGATCCGGTGGAAGAAGAGAAAAAAAAAGTGTAGAGAAATCGTGGCGATTGTCGCGGGGGGAACTGGGTGAACCGTACCCGTTAGCGCAACAGCGGAATCATCGCCCAATGACGCGTCGTGTTTCGTCAATAGGTCGCGCACGTTGTGTTGTGATTCTTTTCACACAGTTGGTGTATTGTCGAGTGGCAAAAACACAGTGACTTCGTAACACGTCGCAGGATGCCAAACAGAAAAACTTTCTGGGTAGTAAAAGTCCATCACTCAGGGACAGTGTAGGTCTAATCGTTTTTTGATTCTAGCCTTTGTTAGGTTAGGATACCTTACTAGGACCTATTCACGATACCTGGCTAGCACCCACTCAGGTCAACTTGTCAAGCAGACAAGTAACACAAATAGAAGGTCGAATTGAATTATGAGTATATATTTAAAGGATCCCATAAACGATAGGATTTATCGTTCAAATCGTACGAAATACCTCGCTTCGACGGTTGGAACTCTCGTTCAGACGATCAAAGTAACGTATATTATACGAGCAGTATACAAATCGTATCGTCTATGAGTCGCTTGAATCTACGGTTACACGTTTTTTAGGCCTTCAAAAGTCACGGGAGCCAAGGAAATCACTGTATTCGCACCACCAACAATAACAACACCGCGTACAAACGTACAGTGGCAGAAAAAAAGTATTCGGACACTGCTGTCTCTTATCTTCCACTAACACTACTTTCCCAATAGACATAAGTCAAAAATATTATTAGGTATCAGGAAGTCTGTAAATATTTCATCACACAAATACTATTAACGATATCCAAGAGACGACAAACTTTGGATAAAATTAAATTCCCACCTGACGCACTGTCAAAATGGGACACAACACTCACTGTAACCTAATATTTACACCAAACTGTAATTCACACTTCAATAGAATAATTTCCTCTAAATTGTTCTTCATTCAGTGTCACATTCGAACTGGTGTTAAGGCTCGAAGGCAATGGCCGGCGATGTAGGAACACTGATTCTCTGCCACTGTGTGAAACACTTCCCCGAATAAGAAACCGAATGCAAGAACGATACCGAGCGGCATCGATGTATCGTCGAACGCGAGATCATACACGAATGACGTGCCGGTCATTCATGGAGCCCGCCGTCATGCCGATGGAATGCGTGCACCATGGTGGTGAAATCGTCCCGACCAATCAACGGTCGCCTAGCACCGGCTTCTGCGTCCGCGAACCACGCGCGCCACGTGACTTCGCAGCCCGACCACGTGACAACATTTGCGCCTCCCACCACGCGACCCGAGCCACGACACGATCCCATGACGTCACGACCAGCTGACTGCGCTAGTACGGTTCCCTACTCCTCTTCCTCGTCCTACCCCTACTAACTGCTACTTCTTAGTAACTTCCATCTTTCGAAGAATCCGTTTCTAACGCAACGAAAACGACGCAGCGACGTCACAGCGCTCGAAATGCTGGATCTGGTCGGACCAAAGATCCTTTACGACGAGAAGGACTTGTTAAATGGATGATTATACACTTAAGGGGCTATTAATGTTTCAATCACACATTTTTTAACTAGGCAGGGTTACACTCTGGGGGATGAGCTTTTTTCGGAAGAGGATGTCGTCAGTAGGATGATCGGTTATGTACCCGGTTATTTTTATTATGCCATTTAAAGAAATGTGCCCATTTTGAAACGAGGCATCGTTCTTTTTTTTTTAGATACGTGTGTTCACCTTTGTCAACTAATTAGCTATATTTAGTGATACGAGTTAATTACTTTAAAAAAATGTATCACTTCTGCCCACCTACATCGTCCAATTCGATCACCGTGCGACGCGATTCGCGGCTATACGCGGACCGAGAATAGGCTCGGGAGGTAGTTACGGTCTGGATTCGAAACGGCTTTGAACCAAAATAAAATATTCCTCTGAGGTTTGCTCGGAACGTTTTTTTTTATTATTAACCCTCGAAAGATAGATACTCAGTTATTTTCAGCCCACACCGAAATCTCGCGTAAACGTCTCTTCGAACCAACTCGAAGGATTAATGATATTTCCTTGTAAATAAAACCAATGCACAAGAAGAGAATGAGGAAGAAAATGATGCTTGAACTCATTGCTAAAGACAGTTTTAAACTCGGAACGTCCCAGCTTCCCCATTCAAGTGAATTATGCGGCAAGGAATATTACTAATCAGAATTTTGTTACAATCTGAATAATACCAATCACTTTTTAGCTATACATTTGATTAATAGCAAGGATTAGTGACAATATTAGCGAATTTGTAATTTGTTTCTTCATGGATATGGATGCCTGATCAGCTAATTGGCCTTTGTAACATAAAATGTGTAAGAACGAAACTGGAATAAAATCACGCGTTACGATACAGTATATGGAGTTTTTAATTATTCCTATATACTTAATTCAATCCTGAGGTAATTTTAGTCTCTGGTTGAATTGGTAGAGTCAGATTTTTATGTAGTCGGTAAAAAAGTACTGCAGAGATAATTTTAAGAACAAACTCTAAGAGAATGTTTATGAAATCTAAATAATACTTTTTAAATGCTAATGTATGCCTATGAAATCGATTTTATCGAAAGCTGAAATTCTTGGAGCTAAGTTTATTTCGACTTTATTTAACCACAAATTAATATGCAATGAACAATTAAAATCTGCCGTACTGATATTTTTACCGCGCGGATTAGACTTTATCTCTGTATTTCAAACTATATTGATATTTACGACCCTGGTTCTTATATATCACTCGATAAATCCGGGGTCAATATTGTTCAGTGAAATACCGAACATGTTAATTATGTAATTTTACGAAATATTGTTCAATTCGCGTTCAAAATTATGCGAACATAAATTAAATACAAACAGTCAGATAGACATATGGTGAAGATAAAAGTACGGCTTAAATGCTGAAGCCAATTGGAAAAATCTCTAAAACACCTATACCCCGATGTTCGGTTGCGAGCTCCCTATAACCCGCAGACATTAAGTTTAGTTCTAAAAATTTCCTTTTCTTATTCACTCACCAGGATCGAAATCGGCCCCTCCAGCATCCATGCCGCCTGGATTTCCATATCCTAAAAAAAGAACCACCATTAACAATAACGATAAATAAATTACAGAGCTGAATTAATATGTTAACCCTTTCATTCCCAAATTACATAACAGTTACCAAAAACTATCTATATTTTTGTGCATTGGAAAATGTTTAAAGATTTTTTACATTTGTACATATTTAGTAACACTGGGAAACAACTAAATCTTATTGCAGTTACATAAGACTTTTAATGTAATTAAATTTTGTGTATTAGTTTCAATTTACCACCTCTTGCTGTATTTATATTAACAGCAAGTGTTAAAAAATTACAATACCCTAATTTGACCGGGAGTTCTTAAATATGTACTTAACTAATGTATATTCTAGGATATGAAAGTTCCTATGACATAATATTTCACTTTATAATTTTAAATAAGTTGCCATACGGTTATAATGGGAACAAGAGGGTTAAACAGTATTATTAGCATTTCGTTCGTTATGAATCGCAAAAAGTACACTAGATAGCGTTTACATCGCAATGTCCTAACCACTAATAACCCCATTCTAAAATTTCACATTTCAATACATTCTAAATTAAATGAATACAACTCATAAAAGTAATTACTGGAAGAGCGATGTAACCAATTTTCAGTCTGCGTTACTAAAACAAATGGGAGAATTATGTAAATCTGTGACGTAGTTGACATTTTGGAATCTTACGATTGGGATTAGAAATCGAATAGCAACTGCTAGGAGGTGCTGCACACGAAAATTAAAATAATCGCGTGATAGTAACAATTTCAAACGAAACCTCCAAATAGGTTAATCGTTACTAATTTTCGGTAACATGAATACGCAATTCCTTAACCTCGAAAATAATGTTGATATATTACGACAATAATGCACGCAGACGGTTAACATTTGTACCACTGTATCCGCTATCCATGGAAAGTATTACATAATCTTTCACGTTGTCAACAAGATAAAAATCAAACGAATACATGTCTTTGTATCGAGCCTAGAGGTGTATCTTTGATTTCAACAAGTTCACATGTGCATCAGATACACTTCCCGAGTATCAGTCGAACCCCCTACCGTGTCGAATTCATGTATTCGACGATCGGGTATTTATTCAGGCTTCGTTTTCAGTTTCAGTTTCTGCTGGACATCAGGGAACGATAATCAAGCCTCGTATCGATTGAACGTTTTTAAATGATAAATTAAATTACTCCCATCGGCAGCGGATACGTGTCGTGGCCGTTTTGTTTCGAGGCCAAGATCCACCAGCTTCTGGGGTGGGGATCGACTATGGCACGTGTGAAATTTATATGCATCGCGACTAGACGGTTTCTTCGTTTTGTATGTAGCACATGTTTGTCACGGTGTTTGTGCAGCTTTCTGTAGCCGTACAATAATATGTGTGTTAGGTGGATCGGCGAATTACATCATGCGTGTTCATTCGGGACCAATACCGGTTGTCTCGACAAGCGCGGTCAGGGGTGTCTGTCACACAACAGCAAACGATCCCCAGAGGCCGCGATTTTCAAAAGGGAACACCTGGGAGATAATCGGCATCGACGGAGCCTCGGCGTACATCGGGAAGTTGCAAATGTCGTTGCTTGCTGGAGTTCGGAGATGAGGACCGAACAACGTTGGAGGGAGAAGCGAAACAGAAAACGGAGGGAGAAAAACTTAACAGCACGAAGTAGAAAAAAAGAGTGCGCGCGCGAGAGAGAGCGAGAAAACAAGCGAAAACGAGAGAGAGAAAGATAGAGAGAGAGAGAGAGAGAGAGAGAGAGAGAGAGAGAGAGAGAGAGAGAGAGAGAGGCAGCATGTGTGAAAGAGACGAGGTGAGAGAAAGACAGAGTAAGACGAAGGAGGAAAGAGGATAGGGTTTGTCTCTCGACCGATACGCGGTCGGCCATCTTGGATCCTGGGTATCGTTGAAAAATAGCAATTCTTTTCGGCGGTTGACAGAACGCCACGAGGGCTGAAAGGAACGATCGGGCGTGTGCGAGCCCGCGGTGCTTACGGACCGTGCGCGGAGTAACGGCGCGGTTCAACCGCGACGGAGGGTCGTTGCGACTCGCTCATGGAAAAGACGGTCCTGGTAACCGGAGGCGCAGCACACCACGGTGCCACAACTACGGAAAGATGTCGGGTCGCGCACACGTTCCGCAACACATATATCGGGAACCGTATATATGATGATAAGAGAACACTGCAACGAAACGTGCATGCAGGATCGTACGATATCTTGATCCTTACTTTGCGGTTGATCGTCCAGGCTTTCCCGGTCAGACATTGCTCTTAACGCGGTCTCTTTCTTCGTTTCCACGCGTCGTCCCTCGACGTCTCGGCAACAGGCCCCCGACAATCAAAAAATCCCCGGCACTGTCCGTGGCGCGACCCCGATATATCACCACTAACCAGCCAGCTCACCAACCTAGCACACCACTTGCGAATTTTTCACTTCTTCACACACCACGGTCCGACCGCCGACCGACCGTCCGTCCACGGCACCAGTCGTCACCACCACCACCACACGCTCGCTCGCTCTACACCGTTCCACGCTCGCTGGTCCGACTCGCGTTCGCCCTCGCTCGCTCGCCCGCTCGCTTCTTCGTCTTTCACTCTCGCTCCACCACCGATCCCTGTCTCGATGCGAGAGAGCGAGATACCGCTAACATACCACTACGCGACGCACACAATTCTGAACTTTCGTCGTGTGACCTGCGCGTGTCCATCTATGTAAGACTGCCTCATAGCCACGGACACGATCCGCTACGTCTATCCTCCTTCGTCCAACATCATCTGTCCTTTTCCTTCTCTCTCGTGCACGTTCGCTCTTTTTAGCGGTCCTATCGTCGCGTCTCTTTCTAACTTACCGGGCAAACTAATATTCCAGTCGGCTGGTGGCGCCACTGCATGTCTCAGTTGTACATCGTTTTATATCGTATCGTATCGAATCGAAGTATATCGAATCGAATCGCGACGGTGGCCATTTTACGTTCGAGCTATTGAAATCGTCTCCGCGGAAGCCACAGAGCGGGTTAGAATGTGAAACGCTATTTTAAATGGTAGATTTTACTGCGACTGTAAATAGAGTATTGTTTCAAATGCATATAGGAACATCAATTTACACTGTCGGAATGTTAAATAGAATATTTTTAAACCTGATGATCTTGATATTGTTAATGTGTTATACACATACAGGGAGTCCTATAACTGGGGGTTCATTCGAGAAAGAGATCATTCTAAATATGTCCAAAAATACATAAACAACGTATGCTAAAATTCATATAAATATAACAAAAATGAAAGATATTGTTGTTATCGTAGTTTAATAGTGTAAAGTCTGTAAAGGATGTAGATAACGGATTACTTAGTACTTGTTACCTTTTTCTAGCCTGTAAAATAAATTTGTTTTAATGATGAACTATTATTGTACTTGAAATAATATTTACGTTTTTACAAATAATGAAGATTATTATGTATGAAATGGATTAATTCAATGAAAATGTTTTTCCGATTTTACATCTGTTAAAATAAAGTATGTAGTATATAACCTTGATCATAATAAATGAGATTTATTAATAATGCAACCTGTGTATAGTTCACTTTTATCCAAACATGGCAACACCTGGGTAAATTAATTTTATTACGTTCATGTACAAAACGCTTACACACTTGTACATTTCTCGAAACTGAAAGTCCATGTTATTTGAATGAAAAAGTTCATTTAAGATATAACATACGGTATTAAAATCTCTATAAACTGAAATTTGTAATCTTATATAAAATGTGTGGTTGGAAATTTTTTCTTATCCTTCTACAATATCACTAAATGTATTTGTGAGATCGTAAATTAATAATTATATATTATACTTGGTACTTAGTATATACTTAACTTACTTTGGTTGTAAATTAAGAATACTGAAAAGTAATTGAAACATTTTATTCATATTTTTTAAGCAAAAACACAACAAAATTCAAGTACACTTATTCCTTACACGTTTACTTTTAATTCAACTAAAATATAATTATAGGATAACGTGACTCGTGTAAGATGCAATGTCAATGTCTATATGCGTATGAATGTATGCACGTCAGTTGTAAATACTTGATGAACATGTTAGTTTGATGTATGAAAAAATCAATGTATTAGTTTTTTGTATGCATGCCCAGATAAAAACCATCATCACCTTGGTATATACTCATCTCCGCTTCATCCCTATCGTTCTCTTCAGTCAACAAATTTCGACTGTTCACAAGCCACTCGATAACCCTTGTTCTCTTTATCGAGGTGAATGTTTTGAAATGATTACAAAAATCGCAGCCGCGGAATAAGGCACACAATTGATGCAACGCGCATTTACTATAGCGATATATTTTATCTTTAATGTTATTTCGGATGTCAATGAATTTCTAGAAGTATATGTATCGTCCTGTATATTGTGTTATGTGTATGATGCCTAGGGAATCTAAAGCTTCGCAGGAACGATTGTGCCTATATCGCTGTTGTGATAATAGTTTTATTATTATCAGTATTTTATATATATATATGATTTTCACGAACCACGTCTATCGATCAACTTACATAATATGCAACCTGAGGTATTCGATCTACTTGACACAACTCAACTAAAGCGTGAACTATATTGTAACAAGTGCAACCTCCGTAATGTGTACATTAATGTATGCGTGAGATGTGTTTCCCTATTCCTGACTGCAACATCTATTACAAAACAACATACCTCGTCCTTTACTAACTTAACACGAACCAGTAACGGTAGTTGAATTTCATCGTAAGCTTTGCTTATATACATTTTACTTTAGCTCTGTCACAGCTATGGCATAGTTAAATAGATCACTGCATTACCAATTCATTTTCCGTTCAACAACTATTCTGGAACTAATCAAAATGTACTATTGCATCATATACGACTGACATACTCGTAACTGTAACCGTACCACAGCTCAATTATTGAATCATCACCGAGAATGCCTGCGATTTATCTCTTTCTCATTCAGAAGTTTAAAACGAACAGTGTATATTATTACAAATTGCAATCTCTTACTTGTTTCAAAACTTGCCTACGGAGCAGTCGAAACTTCCCTAAGCGAAAGGCCATCTAACGTGGTACGTGGAAAAACGCCGGGTGTTTTCTTCGTGCTTTTTAAAATTTACGTTCTAGAATAAGTTTTTGTAAAAAATATCCCTTAATCACTTTGATGTAGGATTAATTCGTGTGGTGCTTATAAAATATTACAGCGAGAGACCAACAAAAGAGCAACAATGTATGACGCAGTGTATGCTTCCGTATATATCTCAACAATAGAATTCAGACTTCGCTATGCATTGTATTTATAAGTTTATAAATAACAGATTCCTTGGTTATCGTTAAGCTCGATTCCTTAAAAAACCATACTCGTGTAATGAACTGAAGAAAAAAAAAGAAACAAGAATATGTGCACCAAGTGTTACATCGTTGACAATAATGTCAAAAAAATATCGTATATTTATGTATATGCTTTCATGCATACAATAATTTACCAAAAGACTCCATGAAACACGATTCGCGAGCGATCTCTTAAAAGCTATTTACAGAAATGAGTAGCAATACACGTAGGCTTCTGCTGTATTCAACCGTTGTCCTTGAGCGTGCCCCTAAATACCATTGAACATCTATCGCCCACGCAGATGTTCGTTAAACATTCTTTAACGCAATTAAGAACATAAAAAAAATGAACGTGTATGGCGTGTATGTCCATCGATATACCAGCAAAAGGAGTAAAACGTCAGAGGCATTACGTTGCTTAGAAAAGGACGGCCTTTGACATCAGTACTATACCGGGACGTGGGTACCTGTGGTGAAGTACTCGTAAGGAGGCTCATTGAATGATACAACAAACCGCTCTGCATGGTATAGGACCTTCGCCCTCCTGCCCGTACAACGTTCGTGACTTAAAAACCTTAGAATCCATGGCCAAAAACGGTGCCTTTCCCGTGTAACAACTTTCATATACCTCAATAGCTTCATCAATAGGTATGTTATTCGTATCGGTCCCCCTTTCTGTCGAAACCTCCCCCGTAGTCGTTTCCTCAGAACGATTTGGCACTGAATCTACGTTTATCTTAGAGCTTAGATCCTCCTCTACGCTGGTAGCACTCTCCCGTGCCAATCTGTAGTACTTCTGCACGTAGTCCACGTTGACTTGTTTCACTTCGATGTTGTCCTCTTCACCAGCCTCACCCTCGCACGATACACCTCGACATTGTAACATCTTTTTTGGGGTTATCACAGGTTCAATCGTCTCAGCCTCCCAGCATTCCAATACATCAGGTTCTTCTATACTACCCAAGGATAGTATTCCACTACCATTTTCCTCTTCGACGCTGCTACTCCTGCCCTCTATCTTTCTGACTGGCTGTTTGGTTGTTTCGTTTTTGGTCGTTTCAATGACCAACGGAGCATCGCTGTTCCAAACTGTCTCATAGGTCGAAGTCGTCAACAACTTACCATCCTCAGAGACCACTATCTCTCCTTTTTCAAATGTCTTCACGTTCATGGTGTCTTCAGTAGTTCCCTTGTCATTCCCGTCCTCCGTGTCTTCTAGATGCTTAATCTTCTCGTTATTGTTCATGGGATCCCTGTTGGACCTCCCCCCTCCCTGTCTTTTCGTTCGCCTTGCATTGATTCTCTTCGAGTCCATCCGAGAGCTTGATGCAACCCTCATACCCGCAACGCTATCCTTCTCAGTAAATTCGCAAACGTCACCAACGTCCTTCGCGGAGTTCTTCTTCCTGTTCACAGGGTCCTCGTGTTGGCCACAGGAGTCCGACGAAGACACCACCTCGTCCAGCTTGCCTTCGACGTGCCTGACCCGTTTCCGTTCCCCCGTTTTCCTCTTACCGTCCTTCCTCTTCCTCGACCCGCCATTGGTAATATCCGGCTGGTCCGTGCTCTTGACGTTACTGATCCTTGCGAATTCGCCGCAGCTAGTCGTGCGCGACAACCCTAGATTGTCTGCGCCGCCATTAGCAGATAGTGCAGGCATGGGGTTGCCTTGCAAGTTTTTTGGCGGCTCTTCCACCTCATCCTCGTCCTCCGTTTCGCTGTCCCTGACGGTCGATGTGATGAACATATCCGGCGAGTTCACTCTGCGAAGCCATTCGGTCACTGCCTCCGTGATAGGATAGTCAGAGTGTCTCGTCGTCTGGCTCTCGAACCCTGAGTCCTCGTTGGAAGTCTCGATCGGTTCCTCTTTGATCAAGTGATTACTCACAGTTTTCGACATGCAATTGCTGGACACCTCGTTTTCAGTCTTATCGCGTCCGAACGTTGAATCCCCTTTCGTGTAATCGTTCAGACTTACGTTATTCAGACTCTGGGTTACATCGTTCACCATCTCTGCCGTCTGCTCCGCGGTGCTATCTAGATCCGGCCCGGGTGTTGGCTCCCTTACAAACTTCGTACCCTTTGCACTGTACTTTCTCTTTGGTAATGATGACTTAGCGTTAGTTAAGGATTCGTGGTTCTCTCCTTTCTCCACGCTCTCAGTCTTTGGCGTGCCTGATCTGGAACGTGTTCTCTCGTCGTTGTGCAACGATGACGGCTTCGATGCCACCACGGTGGTCGTCGTCGTGTCCTCGTTGCTCGAGTCGGAATCGAGTTTCCCATTCGTTAGGGCTGCTTTCTCTTTGACTCCGTTCACTTCTTTCCTCGATCGTTCGCGCGACTCGTTGGTACCCGATGAGTCGTTCGGTAGATTGTTGGTGTCGCCAACCGGCGGCAAATCGGCGTCAGTCGTAACCTCGTTCGCCGACAGCGTTTCCTCGTCGTCGACGAAGCAGTTAGTCAGTCTGTTCGCTTCATTATTCTGATCCGTCGCCGCTTCTAGCGGGCTTGGCTGACCGTCTGACAGCGATCCGTTGATTTGCTTCGATTTCTCACCGATCAATTCGTCGACCCGGTCCTTCGAATCATCGGCAATACCGTTGCACGGCTCGTTGTTCTGGTCGATGGACGCTGTGTCGGACGATAACGCGCTGGATTGATTCACGACCGAACCCTCTTCGGGTTCGGAAATCGGGGTATTAAGCTCAACGACTGGCCGCAACTGGAACTCCTGGCATTCGGGGTTCAGCGTCCGGGTGCCGATTGTCGTTGTCGTTGTCGTCGTCGTCGTCGTCGTCGAAGTTGAACACGCTGTCCAAGACAGTCGGGAAGACGGTCGACCGGTATCACATTCTGAGCTGTACTCTCCTTCCTCCTCGTCCTCCGTGTTACCCTGGATTTTGGAGAGATTGTTAGGATGTTGAACCTAGGATAGGTCGAGCGTTAATTTTTTAATATTACAATTCATTCGACATTGTTTAGCGAGCAATTTCTAATCTGCAGCCTAAAAACTACGATAACTGGAGGTTGATTCATTGGAGATCCGTGTCATAATTTATTGGAAGGAACGAAGGATCCAGCCGGTGGTTTAATGGTTTTCAGAGTATAACATTTCGCCACTCACTAACTACGTTTTGGGAACGTTTAGTATGGAAAACTACAGGGGTCCCTTTGAACGGATTCCGAAAGTGGAAACTAGGATTGAAGAGGTGAATCTGTTTTGTAAGAATGTGTTATAGCTCGTTAGAGGTAATCGTTGCCTAAAAAAGGTATACTTCAATTCTCTAAGAACCTTCGCAACGTTTTTTTATTTAATTCGTTACGAGTGAAAGGAAAATCATTTATGGTTGGTAATGCTGGATGAAATTTTTGTATCCTACAAATTAAGAGAATGAAAAAGGTTTCAGGAAGAATTCAAATATTTGTTTCAGTACTTGAAGTCAAATATTTAAGGCCGAGACCAGATTGGTTGGGTTTCTTAGATTCTCCAGAGAATCTGCAGCATTGTCTGAAAATACCGAGAACAATCAGGACAATCAAAATGGCATGTTAATTTAATTTAGTAGGCTTGATAGAACCCTAAAGAAAAATGTGGTCTTCCACATTTTAAAATCTGTTAAATGTTGGAAACTGGATAGGATCTCAACTAGAAGGTACTGAACCAGTTCCTCCATACTCTAAACATCAAGCCTCAGTTCAGAGTCCTCTTAAGGAACGGAACTCGGATAATTACCGCAGCAAGTCTCTGCTTTCTTCTCTTTTTCTTCTTTCTTCGTTTGGCACAGGCCGCCGACATAACCGCCACGTCCGTAGTCCTGATCATGGGTCCACCCTGTATGGTAACACCTTGGACAATAGAAACGCTTTGCATTACATCTCCGAGGGAAATCGGTGGACACGTTGTTGGTGACAATCGAGATAGAAAGGAAAAAAGGGGTATCCGGCTATTCGACCAGGCTTTACCAGGTTGAATTTCGGAGACAGCGACAGAATGACGGGCCGAAGGGCGAAAAGACTGAACTTGGCTTTCCCATCTCGCTCTTCTATCTCGTATTGAACAGCTCGGCGCAGGGGAGCTATTTTAAACCGGTTCTATTTGAAGACCCGCTGCTCACGCTCGGGTTCTGCCAAATTCGCATCTTGACGCCCTTCGGTTGCGGCGAAGACATATTTCGAACATTAAATGTCGATGGTAACGGCGGCACCCTCGTGATCGTTATGAGTCAATGGACCCTCAGGTGAAACACCTCCTACCTTGTGCAACGTGAGAACCGCGGTGCTGTGAAGAGTTAGGCTGATATATACACGTAACACCGGGAATTACGGTGAAAAATGGTTCAGAAATTATATATATGCAGACACACACACACACACATTCAGCGTGTATAGACTCTTGACTTTAGGTACGATCGTCGGATCCTTGGTCCATATATATGTACGAGATTTAATCAACACATTCTGCTGCGACGGGACATGTTCATTTTGTTTTTTTCGTAAGAATTTTGTTCCCCAATTCGTTTGATTACATAAATCAGCACTATATAATTGGCGTTTATTGAATGTCAACGGTTAGCGTTCATGAAAGGGTTAATATCACACTAATATATGAGAAAGCATATATTAGTAGATATCAATATACATATGTAAATTGGTATTAATAGTTTCCTCAGCGATACTATTCGGTACAAAAAAAGTGAAATACCTTGTAGACGACCAGTATATGTAAGACATTGTAAATTAATGTAATGTCAACGGTTTCCTTGTCTAATTTCATAATACAGAATTGAGGAACGTTCTTGAGCTCTGCAGTTACTATTCGACAACGCTACTTTCATTCTGTAGCTTTGTTATCGACAACAGTTACATCCTATCTTTAACTTTGTCGAGCTATATACTAAATTTCTGGATCACTTTATTTCTATTTACTAGAATCATCGATCCAACGGATTTTATTCAATTAAAATCTACTCTTGAAATTTAACTCATGCTCAATTTATAATTCCGTTTAAATATTCCTCAAGCAGTGTCCATTTAAAGACAAGCAGCGCCTAGTGCTTTTGTCAATAACATTCATTCACAACGGTTCCGACGTGAATTGTAGCATTCCGTTCGTCGGTTGGAATTCGGTAGCGAGCAGATCTGTCTGTATTTTGCCAGTGATCCATACACAGCACCGTTAGGGTGTGTCCAATGTGAAAATATATCAATGGCCCCGGGTCCTCCGCGATCGTGTCTAAAGAGAGGCGCATTCTCTTTGAGAATTATTACCTTTTACCTTGAATGTGGTAGAGGCACGGCGCTAATAAAACAGCAATGATGCCGATGGACGGGACAGCAGTCATGTATCTGGGTATATCCCTTTCCTCTCGCCGCGCATCCGACCGACACTGTTCTCGTTTAACATTAGAAACAGGCACAATAAAAACGTACTAACGCCTAGACCGACGCAGTGCGCGCGGGGAAGGAGCATTCAGACAGGTCCGTGGGCTCGCAATGTATCATTCGTTACTTTGTGTTCCTTTCAGTCCCCGTTAAATATAACTTCTTGGCGGCCGATGTGGGTTCTCACGGAGCCGAGAACTAAATCACGGTTATGTAACCGGCACTTCCGACATTTCTTGGACATCGGACGCTTATCAATTACAATCTGGCCAATTGTCTTGGTGCCTTTCGTTCGGCTCCGATACGTTTGGCTGATTGGACTGAATTCATTGTGGGTACATGGTGGCTCGCACGGGAGAACCTCTGTCACATTTGTTCTGTTACTGTTGGTTCATCGTATAAACATAGTATATTCTACAAGTGTTGTGTCGTATTCACGACAAGCTCACGATTAGCCACTGTTATTTGGTAAATTATGTGATGTATGTGTATGTGTGCAATGGTTGTGTGTTGACTGATCGATGTGTTTTTGTTGACGGTTGAATGTGCTCCGGTGAATGAGTGAATGTATAGCTGCCTGCTGGAACGGATCGACTCGTGATCGGTGGAAAATGCAGAATATTGGTTGATTAAGGTGATTCAATAGGTGGTAGTACGAGTTGGAAGAAGTGGGGTTTGGTGTATGTATTATTTCTTGGATTCTTGGGAGTCAATGCCGAAATATAAGGAACGGTCTTAATCGACCGCCAAAATAGAGGACTGGTTGGTATAACATTGCGATGCACACATACTGTGCTCCCTTCCCGTCGTTCGCTGCATTTGCGCAGATTCTCTCAGCCACAACAATAACAAAAAAAAATCAACCTTCGCTTGTTCTGTGTCCGTTGTTCCGTCCATCTGTCCGTGAACAGAACGAAAGCTACTGGGGGGAGTTTATAGTCACCGGGTGGCCAACAGGAGGGAAGGTAAATTTTAGAGAATCTCTACCGGACGGTGGTGGCATCTGAATCAACTAACCGTTCACGTTGACCAATGGGGGCCCGAACATGTAGTGGCCCGGGTACATGTACGGTTGCGGCACCGCCGGTATCACGTGTGACACGTGGACCGGTTGAGGCATCAACATCGGTTTCAGATACGTCCCGCCGTTCATTCCGTTCTCCAAACACTGCTCCTCCACGTAATGCTCGTCCATGTACATGTCCTCCGGTTGTTCCTCCGCCATCTTACGACGATCCATCTCGGTCGGATCCTCCTTCGCCGTATTGTTCGCCGCCTCTGCGGCGTGTTCCTCCACTTCACCGGCCACGCTTCCGGTGGAACTAGCACCGCTTCCTGTGCCGCTCTCGTTGCACGTGCCGTTCGTGTTCTCCACCGGTACCGTGCTGGTCTCTTGCTCCTCGACCAAAGTCACAGTGGTCTCCGCGGCCGTCTGCAATTGCGAGGATTATTTAGTGGTTACACCACAAATCTACAGCATTCAATTTTTCGTCAGCTGGACTACTGATGCTCACGCGTGGGTTAAGGGGTCTTCCTACTGTGACGGGTTTTGGATACGAGGTTGGATGAGAGTTGCTTTAACGTTACCTGATAGTTCATCATGCAGTACGGTTGATCAGTCAATTTCGGCATGAACGCAGGATTGATCCACTCGATCGGCCTCAGGGGGACCGGTTCGCATGGCACAGCCGCCAGTACACCAGGCCCGACCTGAGCCGGTACTGGCGCGGGACCGACCAACATCACCGGATACTCGTAATAGTAACCACTTGCGTGGTCGTAGAATGTCCCGTAACCTAACTGCGCCCTGGACTCCACCATCGGTGGATTCTCACTGGCGCCACAGTCTCTGTCCAACAGCTGTTGATCCTCAGTCGTTTCGCTGCCATCTGCATTGACAGAAACGGACAAGATGTGTACTTAGGTCTGGGAATGTCAACTTGACGAACGTTAATCAGACTTTCATCGTGTTATTCGAATTACTTTAATAAATTCTACGCGCGTTTAGTATTACTACGTTTTTCGAAAACTGTCGATAGTATACGGAATACGTACTACAGACTCCTCTCGATTATCGTCCCGAACTCGGGTCCGACAATAATCTTATAGGGAGAAATACTTCACAGGGGTGCCGTTAGGAAAAAAAAGTACAGTGGACTCTAACTATATTGCCATGGTCGGGGCTGTAGGGGAGTAAAATGGGAATGAGTTGAGAGCCCCCTCCATGCTAAGTTGTATCGTCATAGCCTCGATCGCAGCATATGCGCAAAAGATGGACCGTGTTGGTACCCCGGCATACGCAACGTGGTGGGAGAGCAAATTTGTATGCTCGAAAGTACGTGTGAAGGGGAAGCGCCTCGTGTGGCAATATGTTTAGTGGCAATATACTTAGAGACAAAGAGATTGGTTTAATACTATCTTCACAATAAATTCCCCAAAAATTTGTTCATTTTTAATTATTCACATAAGCCCCCCCCCCCC